TGACGTTGCCAAGGTAGATGTTTTTCTTTGCCTTTCAAGATATTGCGTATAAAGAGAAAGATAACCAGTCCTCTTGGGCAGTCGAGAGTGTTATGTAAAAAGGACCAAGGAGAATCCAATCCTAAAGGAGAAGGAGGAGGAGTAGGAGCTAGCTTTAGGGGCGGAATCGAATGATTACGAGATAAACAATGAGACAAAGGAGATCACTTAGACAATTCACTTTGAGTACAGGGAAGTCTGCTGGTAGGAATTCCTCAGGGCGTATTACGGTTTTTCACCGAGGGGGTGGATCGAAGCGATTGCAGCGAAGAATTGATCTGAAACGAAGCATTTCGTCTATAGGTATTGTAGAAAGGATAGAATATGAGCCTAATCGTTCTTCTCGAATCGCTACAGTATGATGGACCGGGGGGTCCGCCAGAGAAAATGTAACACAATAGAAGAGTTCGCTCTGCCGCGTAAGATCCTCGAATCAACCACGACTACCATCTGCGGTCCATTTTTGTTCTCTTCCCTGCCCGGGAAGGGGGATCAAAGAAAGGTAGCTTGCTTCTCTCCTGGACGGATGGCGACTCATGTAGTGGTCGGCCTTCCTACCAGAATGCCTTCTTGGTTGAAGAGCCCCTTTTTTTTACTAGTAAGGATGCAGGAAGCAAAAAAACTTGCGCGAAGGACATTTTCTTCTCTGCCCTCTCCTCTCCAAAGGCCAAGGGAGAGACTGCATCCCTTTCCTTCGGTAGCTCTTTTGGTTTCCCAAGGATAGCGGTAGCTGGGGCAAAGCCCGCTTTCTTCGCTCCGCGAATGAGAGAGAAAGTCAGAGGAAAAAACACGTTCTCTCTTTGCGAGATCCGAAAGTGGAGAACGCATAGCATTCTATGGGTACATAGGATCAAACGTAAAGCAGCGCTCTCTTGGCAGAGTTTTAGGCGGCAAGAGACTTTAGGGCTTGTTGGAGCTTCTGAGCGTAACGAATCGAAGCCGAAGACGGATCAAGGTAGCTTGCCTGCCAAGCCGATAGGCGAAGGGCTGAAGGATGGAACGTGCAAAGTAGATCGTGCACCTGTCGTGTGACCCGTTGGTCCTAAGCAATGTCTTGCGCGAAGCGACCCACTTAGAAAAAGCTCCCCTTTATGTTAGGGGAGCACTAAAATGCAACTTCGATCGGATGCGGGTATCAAATCCCGCCGCTGAGATGTCCAGCGGATTCCTGGGCCTTGACGAATGGCCGGCCACCTTTTACGTTAGAAGAGCAAAAGGCCCAGGGCATAGCAGGATGAACCAATGTGAATGAGTGTAAGCTTCGTTGCCCGAACACGATTGGTGCTGACCACACTAGGTGCTACCGTGGTAGCAAGAGAGGTCAGGCGGTGACAATTGAGAGGTTGTCACTGAGCATTCCTAGTCACACGGGAAAAGAGGTCAAATGGCAAGGCCATACGCCCGTTTGGCTCCTCGCGGAGTATAGCTCACATCCAAACATCTGATTGGGGAACGGGGCAACGCCCATGAAGCTCCAGTGGAAAGGGAAGGCCTGCCAGGTCGTATGCCCATGGGTGCAAGATTCTTCGAAAAAGCGCGGGCTGACTCGGAGACCTGGGACCTTGGCTTAGTAATGAATGAAGGGAAGCTCTTCGAGCTTTCTCCGCCAGCGACTTATGTAGTGGTCGGCCTTATAAAGCTCACTAAGCCTCGCTTCCCTCTCCCCTTCACTTATTAATTAAGTGGAAAATAGTCGTCGGCATTCTATAAGCGACTTGACCGAGTCTACGAAGCTTTGCTTTTCTTGTAGTCGGCCCGTAATGCCTCCCTTCATTTGCTTGCCTCCTTTCAGCTCAGAATGCCTAATGCCTATTATTTAGTGCTAGAAGCTAACCGCCATAAGCTCACCCTTCGGGTCTCGCTTCCAGCGCAGGAGGCCAAGCATTCTGCCAGACGTCCCGGCCTGGGAGCCCCGTTTGCCTTTAGTACTTCAGTAGATCTTCTAAAATAAAAAGCGTTACTTCAGCCTTAACTACAACTACATTACTACATTACCAGTGACGGCGACTTTCTAGGTTTATGGATTCAGTCAGCTAAACTCCATCAAACTCCTCAATAAATATCAACAAGATGTCGTGACCGCTTAGGCTTGCTTTACTTTGGTTTGAATGTAAACTAAAATAAGCGGCGTTTAATCAAACAAAGGGAACCGAAGGTTTGCTTGTTTAGTAGTACGAAAGTAGTTCTACTATTAAGATGTTTAATATTAATAAGAAATATTCAGTGTTGTAGCTGTAGAACAGAATGTCGTTCGCCTTTACTTTGACTTTCTGAGAAGGACTTAAGTAGCTAAGTTTCCAAAGGTGAACACCCCCCTATCCTTTATAGTATAGTCGTAAAGGGCTTCTCAGAAAAGTCAGGAAGAAGGCATTCGAAAGGACGACCACTATCTCATAGGCATTCTGGTGGTAAAACCGACGACTACACGGCTCTATACCAAGTCATGAGCGATAGCGAAGCCAAGCCGCCGTCTATAGGCGAAGGGACAAAAGCCCGACGAAGGCCTATGCTACAGTAAGAAACAAAGTACGTTGAGGTTACGAAGTCACTTAGCCGTATACTATACAAAGGGAAAGGCGTCAGTACGGAGTCACGTCAGCTGTGGATATAGACTAGGTTATAAGGAACGGAGTCAACAACTATGGACCGAGACTACACTAAGGAACAAGGAAGCTTGACTGAGAAAAGAAGTCAAGGAACGAAGCTGCTTCTCTAATAGCCCCGTTGAATAGGAGGGCGAAGGCTTTTTGAAAAAGTCTTTTTTGTCTTGTAAATGCATTTTTTTCTATTTAGAGAGAGGGGGCTTCAAGTTCTTAGGAAGAGCCGTACGAGACAGCTCACGTACGGTTCGGGAGCCGAGCCCCTGCGCAGGGGCTTAGGTCAACACTTATATAATAGCCAGTCATCAATNTGAGACAGCTCATGTACGGTTCGGGAGTCGAGTCCCTGTGCAGGGGCTTAGCTCAACACTTATATAATAGCCAGTCATCAATTGGAAGCGGGCAAGATGGTGATGAATTGCGATTGGTCTAAACCTTCGACTAGCGACTTATTGCGACCTGCCCAGAATGCCCATACAGACTAAGACCTTATTCACACAGCGAAGAAAGGCCGAGTGGAAGGGGGCAGTCAGCTGGCTGCTTCTTTGCCATGCGCTTTGCTTTGCTTTATTTTATAGAAGAAAGAGACCAAATGAGAGTGAAAGGCAAGGGCAAGCGATAGAAAGGAGAGTCCCTCGCGCGAACTACTACTACTAGAAAATGGTGAGACCATTAGTGAAAGAAGGACCAAGGAGGATCCTATCCTAAAGGAGAAGGAGGAGTAGGAGGAGTCAGTTTTCTTTGAAGATCGAGGAACGTAGTGTCGGACAATTATGCCATTCGGAAGAAGTCTTCTACAGAAGAAAAGCCTGTTACGAGTAAGTGGAGAGGAAAGATCTCCAGGGATTCTTATCTCATTCCATTCCAGTGGCTCAACCAGTAACCAATGGCGAAAACTCAAAAATCCATGGTTTCCCGGTAGAACCCTATTTCGCCCAAGTTGTTTCGGAACCGGAAAAAAGAAGCGGTTTTTCGCACAGCTTGCTCATAGTGCAGGTCCCACTTGTATATCGTATTTGGCCGAAGAAGCATCGGACAGGTTGGAGTTCTTACCTTCTTGGGACTCCATGGACCAAGATCTGCTTTTATTATATGGTCAATACCGATCTACTTTAGTAGATCATATGGATGTAGAAAAAGCTTCTAATTTGGATGAAATAGAAACATCTCNTATCTCTAGGGATTCTTATCTCATTCCATTCCAGTGGCTCAACCAGTAACCAATGGCGAAAACTAAAAAAATCCATGGTTTCCCGGTAGAACCCTATTTCGCCCAAGTTGTTTCGGAACCGGAAAAAAGAAGCGGTTTTTCGCACAGCTTGCTCATAGTGCAGGTCCCACTTGTATATCATATTTGGCCGAAGAAGCATCAGACAGGTTGGAGTTCTTACCTTCTTGGGACTCCATGGACCAAGATCTGCTTTTATTATATGGTCAATACCGATCTACTTTAGTAGATCATATGGATGTAGAAAAAGCTTATAATTTGGATGAAATCTAAACATCTCTTTTCCATTTCTATTTACCCAGTTCATATCTTTGTTTTGTGTGTTCCTGGGAGGAATTCGATCTCGGAATACCACCTAAATAACTACGGCTAGAGAGTCAAATAGGTCGGGAAGAAAGAGTCTGAGGTCGGGTCGGACGACATACATCTTGGTTGGTTCCACCACCACTAGAGATTGGACATATATACAATCTTTATTCTAAAAAAGGGATTCTTATATATATATTTTTAAAATAGCTGCAAGACCAAAACGGGGTGCAAAAAACCGAAAGCCCTTCTTTTATTTAAGTTCCTCCCAGATACATGGCTTACATACCCGGCTCAACATTCTTGGAAAACAATCGAATCGAGGGTTCGGAGGAGAATTGGCCATTCAATCTTGTGAACTAATCGAGACCGAAATTGGAAAAAGAGATACGAACGGAGAGGAATAACCAATCGATGAAAGAACATGAAACCATTCTGTTTCAATAGAGGTACGAGAAAGGGTTGGGGGCAATGAAGTAGGTGAAGTGGTTGGATTTTGCGAGCTGTTCCAACCACTGCTGGATGTGATTCCAAGAGCCGAACGAGAATGAATACCACACAGAAGAGTCAAGACCAGGCTCCCTAATGGAATGTTTAACCGATCCATTCCGGATCGACCGAATTGGTACGGAAGTTGTAACATGGGAAAACCACGGAAAACACGACTTATTTGAATAACCCGGTGACCTACCAATTGTAGAAGTAGGATTTTTGGCAAGCAATAAGCACTTAAATAATACAATTCAAGTGTANATGACCTACTAATTGTAGAATTAGGATTTTTGACAAGCAATAAGCACTTAAATAATACAATTCAAGTGTACCATCTTCTTTCTCATTTCGAGAAAAAGGTGCGAAAGGAAAAGGAAACAACGGAGGGATCCGAATCGGACCTAAATGGGAATGACATGAAAAGTCTTTTTCAAAACCTAGCATTAAGGGCATTACGACGATATACGAGAGGAATAGAGAAAACCTCGTGATTGGTGTGGAGGGGAAGATCTGTTTATGATATAGTTCAAGAAAGAGTCGTCTCATTTCCTTACTTCTTTCTAATTCATTCACTTCAAGACTGGTTCTGAACGCCGCGTAACATCATCTTCAACCAATCTCCACCGTACTCTCGGTGCGACCACTAAAGAATTGCCTATACACTAAACAGCTGCTTATATACGTTTACTAAAAGACTGACTTTCATTCATTATCATTAGTCCAGCGTGAAACTAAGAAAGAGAGATGTGCCTAAGGCGGCATGTAAGCAAACTATGCATGCTAAGAGAAGAGGAGAGATGTTTGCAATTACTACCACAAGAAAGCCGCCCCCTATCTTCTAAAGGGGCCCGTCACTTCGTTCGTACCTTCTTGGCTTAGGCTTCCAACTGAACAACATGGCCTTGCCGCCCCGCCACTAGTAGAAGCTAAGCGCTTGAAAAGCGCACTAAGAAAGGTTGCTTCTGTCGCCCTTTCTGTGCAACAGTCCACCAGTAGCGGAAGAGAGGGTTACCGTACATACAAGAGTGTTCCAGTTCTTACGGAAGCTCTTTTTTACCAGTCAATCAAGTAATACAAGAACTGTATCTTATCTTATAGCCCGGTGCGGCGGGTCGCCTTTTAAATTAAGTAGATAGAAGAAAGTCTTAAATAGATAAGGAGTAGGTGAGTGAGTGAGTCCTCACTGACCTGAGCGATTTCGATCACCTAGCAGGCCTTTTATTTGGTAGGTAACATCGCCAAAGCGTATCATCAGATTTGACTACGAAGGAAGGAACTCGAAGTGAAAGGGCACCGTCTTGTGCAAGGCAACGATAGTTGGCCCTCTATCATCTTCTATCTGGTAGACTTGGTAAAAGGGCCCCGACTTATTTCCAGAATAAGAGTTCGACCGCGGCTTCCCCCTTTTTTTGGGGGGGATCAAGTTCCTTGCCAACTGCCACCTATCGACCCCGACCTCTTTTCATTTGTTTTGGATATTACCAAACCTAGCCTAGCCTTCGTAAATCACACNTCCTCTATCATCTTCTATCCGGTAGACTTGGTAAAAGGGCCCCAACTTATTTCCAGAATAAGAGTTCGACCGCGGCTTCCCCCTTTTTTGGGGGGGATCAAGTTCCTTGCCAACTGCCACCTATCGACCCCGACCTCTTTTCATTTGTTTTGGATATTACCAAACCTAGCCTAGCCTTCGTAAATCACACTAAAGCGGACACCCAACTATGGAAAAGCCTCCTTAAGGGTGGGTTAGGTTAGTCAATCCGGCCCGAGACGCGTTCGTTGACAAAACCGTCGTAGGAATTCCTACTTTTCAATAGAGTGGAGGCAAACTGATCAACGAGAAAGAGGCCTTACTCACTACAAATGAATACACCACAAGATCGAACTGCACTCATGCCTCTCCCACATCAAGTTGACCGCCCCCCCTATGTAGTGATTCTATCAATCATGTACGTAGGTAGGACCCTCCATTCTGATTGGTATATCATGAAAAAAGAAAGCCATTTGCACCAGGCGCACTGCGCTTTCCCTTGCCCAGATGTTTGCCTTTCTAAGTCAAGTAATGGTGACCCACCGAAGACTGGAGCTTCATAACATGTTGACGAAGGCCCCCAAACTGAGGGTTCAGTCAGTAGAAGGGACGACTTTGTCTCCCCGGAAGAAGAATAGCCCCGCTCTCTAGCCGACTGATCCCGTTGATCATATAACTGGGAGGGAACGTGTCACATTAGAGGTGAACGATCAGAGGTGTCCTCTAATCACCACGACGAGGCTGGTCCCTCTTTTAGTAGACTCAGCTATGAATATTCATGAAGAAATGAATGCCGGGCTCTTTCTTTCACTGCTAACCCCAAGAAGTTTCAACATGCTGAAACTTTCCGTTTCGTCGAGCCCCGAGCTTGTGGTCCTCCTTTGAGTGTGGGTTCAATTGAATGAATCTGTCAAGTCAAGGAAAACGTACGTAGCAGCAAGGATGGTGCATCGCCTATTTATCGTTCTCGCTCGGGAGCCAAAACGAACACGCCTGCTACCTACTGTACTGGACCTTCGACCAGGCATTCTACCTTTGTCGAATCGGAACCAACACCACTGCATTGCGCTCGAACAGTTGAGCGGCCGCCGGCCAGCAACTTCCGTGCACAGATATAGATTCATTCTTCGTACCTGGTCCAGCCTCACAACCCTTCGCGGGTTGGTAAGAAGTCAGTCTTGTTTGGTAAGACGGAATTGGACAAAGAAAAGAGAGTGCTCGACCGGAACAACGGCCAACAACGTAATTACATAGATAACTGCTCCTCCCCTGATCCTTAAGGCTTTAAGGCGAACCGTATGGCGGCTGGAAAGAAAGACGACCTCACCTTCTCTGGTGTCAGTGAGAGCTATTTGAGTATCCCCCGTTGACCTTCTTTTGTAGATAGAATCTTCAATGAGTGGAAACAAGCAACCTTACTAAGAAAGGTGCTTGTTGAGTAAGGCCGGCTTTCGAGCCCAAGCCCCTTTACTAGGTTGGGCGCTTGAGCGCATCTTTCTCATATCGATCAAGGCTTTCCTTGAGTTTGAAATAAGGGGCAAGAAGCAAGGGCGTAGCAGCTGCGCGAAGTTGCGCCTTAGCGCATCCGTTTTCTTGCAGGAGTGCTAACGCGCGACCTTACGTTTTCTTCCGCTTGCTCTGCAGTACGAGCCTCATACAGAGCCGCGCTCCTTTAATATGATGAGAAGAAGGGGGGCCGGCCTCTTTTCCGTACCAATCCTTATTTACTACTACATCTTTTTTGGGGTGTATAGCTCAGTTGGTAGAGCATTGGGCTTTTAACCTAATGGTCGCAGGTTCAAGTCCTGCTATACCCAAACCTACCTTACACTCTACTATGAATAAGGATGCATAGTAGCCTTCAAAGATGACTCTTTGGCCTTTAGACTCGCTTCGGCGACTTCGCCCTTTAAGTGACAAGGGGGTGAGCCGCTCCAAGCGGAAAGCGATAGTGAATCCCGAACTTGCCCACGCTCATCCAAACCGGCCTCAAAAAGCGATCGGAAAGCGAAGCCCTTCCTTCCAATCCAAGCCGGCGAAGCCGCCCCTATATCTAACCACCGCTCACCCCGATCACATATTGGCACGTTCATGATGCATCATAATCAAAAGGCCGTAAAGTAAAGAAGACCTATGCATCAGTGTACTGTCATGATCACATATTAGCTCGATTTTATTGACGGCTTGAAGGCGAAGCCGCCTATTTCTTAGGGCAAAGGGCGCTCCATCCTCCTAACTCCTTCCACTTCTCCCAGGGACAGGAACTACGGCTTGACCTTCGGGGAAGAAGTCCGTGGGACCCCTCCTTCGAGGGCGCCTAGATAGTGAAAGGTTATCCCTTTGCAACGCTGGAAGCTAAGCAAAGTCACGAAGCTGGCTGACTACGCTCGAGCAGAGCTCAGACCCGGAGGTGGTGGCTGAACTCGCCGCAGAGTTCAGGAGCGAGCAAGACTATCTTGGTGAATGCAATAAGAACCGGCTGCTCGCCGCAGCAGAGTGCTTTGCCCATGCTGCTATCCGCCGCCGAAGCGCTCAAGGGATTCGTGCTTGAATGTCGAGATCAGGGGACTCTATCCAATCCATGCGGCAAATCTGTTTGTGGTGGAAAAAACTCAACAATAAAAAGAAATAAATAGAATATAGAAAATCATTGAATTTGTTTGCTCCGATACAAGAGATCGGCCCCGAAGCAAGATATGGTGGGTGCCAGCAACTTTCACTTGTTAGGAGTAGGGGCTGAAAAGAGCTCTTTGTATAGGTTGGGTTTTCTGGGCTTTGATGCTTACCTTCTTATTATTAAAAGGGGAAGGTTTAATAAAGGAGCTTTTCAGCCCTTTTGCTGGATTGTTGGTCCGCAGCCCCGCCCTATAGAATGAATAAGGAGAGGCTTATCGATGACTAAACCACTCTTATACTACTCCTTACCTCACCCCCCTTGTCACTTAAAGGAATAGCCAAAGAAGGGGGCCTGCTGGAAACCCTCGCCTTCGGCTCCATACTGAAAAGGCCGGCCATGAAGGGACATCACGACTATCCTTTCTGGGAATACCGGGCTTTATATGATCC